GTCCGTCTAACATGACCGCGCTTTTCGTTCATCTTCTTCCGGACTCTCCACATTTTCCCCTTGATCCCGTATTTGGACAGTTGTTTCCACAATCTTCTTTTTGGGCCCATGCGTCCACCTCCTTCTTAAACACTTGGTCAAAAGCTCTCCGAGGGCACTCCAAGTCTCTTGTAGTGTTCTGCTCGAACTTCCCTTTTTCCCTTCCCACTGCTGACTAATCCACCGTTCACACCTGTCACAGTGGCGACCCCTGTATCCCCCCCTTGCGCGGTCTTTTTTACCATTCCACTAATCCCTTCCCACATCTGCTTGACGTTTCCCTCCAGGCCTCCGTTGGCCTTCTGCACTACTTCGTCCCAAATGCACTTTTTCTTCTCTTTCAACAGTCCCTTCACCTGTTTTCTTTTGGCCCTGTACTTCTCCCAACTCTCCTCAGACGCCTCACTCAGGTACTGCTTGAAGACTTTTCTACGTTCCCCTATTTCTTCTTTCAGCTCGTCATCCCACCACTTAACCGATACCCCACATCGTATCACCTTCTTTCCCACTACTCTTTCTGCCGTTGCGTTCACTATGGACTCCTACCCTGCAATCACCCTGTCCCCTGCTGCTTGTACGTCTACCTGTCCGTCTTCGACGCTTCTCAGCAGTTTACTGAAGGATTCTACACTACCAGCCAGTCCCTTCCGGAATTTNGGGTGCCGACAGTCCCTCTATGAGCAGTGTACAACAGGTTGTGTCGTTCCACTTGCTTTGCAGCGGCCTCGCGGCAGGTGTTTGATGTAGACTATCTCCCGAGGAGAAATTCGAAAAATACAAAAATACTCCCTCGAGGACTTGTAGAAATATTTTTTATTTTTCTTCATTAGGCCGAGTCTTATAGGCTGAGTCTTACGGCGTGATTATTTCGGAGATTTTTTTTTTCTCTCGGACGGGGGGGGGTGGCCTTCACGGAAATAATTATCAAGATCCAAACGACCGTCTTACGCTCCGAGAAAATTGATTCGCGCGAGCGATTTTTTTTAGGGGCCACGTGCATGTTAGGGGGTGTCTAAGTGACAGTCCCGTGCACTCCGNCAAACGCTCTACTTTCCACCGGAACACTTTCCTCTGTTTCTCACTCTCCGTCTTTCTAGATCGGTCGATGTTTGCCTAAGGCTGAGTCTTACGGCGTGATTATTTCGGAGATTTGTTTTTTCTCTCGGACGGGGGGGGGTGGCCTTCACGGAAATAATTATCAAGATCCAAACTACAACCCATGTCTAAGCAAAAGCTTGTCGAGGAGCGAGGGGAAGAAGGGAGAAGTGTATATGATTTATTTATTACGGTGGCACATAATTAATAGGAGAGCAATTAAAAAGATATGCGTTTCGGAGTGTAACTTTGGCAATACGATGCGCAGCACAGCAGACGATAGCGCAAATTGACGACAGGGAAAAGGCGGTCACGATGAAAAAAAAACATTAAAAAAAAAGATCAAATTGCTTGAGTTGGGCTGAGTCTTACGGCGTGATTATTTCGGAGATTTTTTTTTTCTCTCGGACGGGGGGGGGTGGCCTTCACGGAAATAATTATCAAGATCCAAACGACCGTCTTACGCTCCGAGCAAATTGATTCGCGCGAGCGATTTTTTTTAGGGGCCACGTGCATGTTAGGGGGTGTCTAAGTGACAGTCCCGTGCACACAGCCGTGGCTCCTCATTCGTCAACCACGACAGCACGCTACTGCTGTAGGGACGCACGAATCCATAACACCNCGCGCGAGCGATTTTTTTTAGGGGCCACGTGCATGTTAGGGGGTGTCTATGTGACAGTCCCGTGCACACAGCCATGGCTCCTCATTCGTCAACCACGACAGCACGCTACTGCTGTAGGGACGCACGAATCCATAACACCACCATGGTCGTGGAGGCGCTACTCCTACCCAGGAATGAACACTCC